GCGGTCACAGCAGACTACGCCAGCATGGGATGCAGCTATTTCGGGAAACTCAGCCCTGCGGGGGGCCTTCCGTAGGGTCCTGGATTCCGAGGTTTGCAAGCGTCTGGATATCTCAGCCATGCAAGCCGTTGTAGATACCAACGGATTTTACGGTTCGATCAGGCGGGACATGCTGGCGGATGTTGCAGTGAGGTTCGGCTCCCCAGCGCTTCGTTTGGCACTTGACCTGCAACGGTGCATGGCGCCTCGCATTCTCAGCCAGAACGGAGCCAACGGCATCGCGCTTCGGCCAGCTTAATCAATCGTTCAGGGGCTTTACAATATCACTCACTTCGCTCGGTGTCTCATGTATGTTATAATGAAATAGCTGTCGCAGGTCCCATTATCAGCTGCTCAGCGGATTTGGATCGACGCTTTGATGCTCCAGATCTCGAGGCTGGCGAAGTCTGTAATCAAGTCCGCGGCTGATGCCGTTCAGACTGTGTTCGACGAGATGCAGGCTGACAGTTTATTGTTCGCTGATCAGGGTGTGCTTTCAAGTTTGGTGCACCCTGCCGCCGGGCAGATCGCTTCTCGCCTGAAGCGCCGTGGAGTCAAGTGCGCGGCAGCCCATCAGGATCCGCGTCTGGGCATTGACTTGGGAGGAGGAGGGAGAAAGGCGAGGGGGGCTAGGCGGCAGAGGGTTGTCAAGGGGGCGACGCAGCATCGCAAGCTTCAGGGCTGCGCCAGAGCTGCTCGTAGGCATCTGACCTCCAACAGGACTGAGTTAGCACAGCCACTGTGGAGAGCAGCTTCAGAGATTACAAAAGAAGCGGGCGATGTTTCGGGCTGTGTCATGGGAGGCAAGTGCTTCGCGAGTCTTTTGGATATTCGCACGCCTAAGCGTGGCCCAGGCATCGCGCTCGCCACTGCTTGCATTCGCGCATGGATTGATTGTTAGGTGCGCGCTCCTTCTTCTCACGCTGGAGTGTTCAAAGTTTGGCAAGTTGTTCGTGCGGATCTTGAAGCTCTACCCCTTAAAAGAAGATCAAGGCACATTCGAGGCCCATTGTCGGCCGTCATTACACATTTACTGGGAGTCGGTTGGACTCCCTTTGCACCGAACGATTGGAAGGGGGCCGATTGATCGCGAGTTGTCCGGGGATTTTGAGTGGACGTCTCCTGCAGGGGACCTGGGGTCTGTTGATGAAGCTAGAGGTTTGCTCGAGGATTTCCAGGTGATTGTTAAGATTCCCAGCAGCGGGCAGCAGCCGAATTTCATTTCTGCGGGCCAGGCATTGCGGGAGGCGTAGACAACCCATCGCTACGCGCGCTAACCCGACAGCTCGAGGGAGCTCAGCACGGCGGACAGCTCGCGGAGAGTCTCGTCTGCATCGCCATTGGAGGTCGCTGGCTGCAGGACCGTCAGTTTCAAGCAGGATGCGCAACTTCGACTGCCTGCCCCAGATGCAAGCTCGAAGGAAGAGAGGACACCCCTGAACCCCCTGGACATCGTCATTGGCTGTGCCGCAGCAATTTTCCCCATCCAGCTTTCACTGAAAAGGGCGCCTTGGTTCCAAGAGCTTTGGCGCAGGGGCTGGCGGGGGCGCGCTTCTGGCATCGTGGGCCATTGCCAGCTGCGTGGGCGCAGGTCCACACTCCGCCCGCAGATGAGTGCCGGCGCTGCGCTGATCTCCTCGCGGAGCAGTTGGAGGCAGGCGCCCTGGGCAAGGGCGCGCGCGAGGCCTCCGTTTCTGGTGATGCTTCGGCCAGGAAGGGGAGAGAAGATGAGTGGCTTTGGAGAGCGGGGCTTGCAGTGTGTGCCCTACTTCGATCGCGCCTTGTTCTCGGCCCCATGATGCGCGGTCCCCATGCAGGCGGGTGCCAGTCTGCGACGCGGAAGGAGCTGGTTCCGCTCGTGACGTCGACCGGGTTTTCCGAGGGAGATTTGGTTTACGCTGCGGATGACGGCGAGGAACCCAGGGGGTGGGATTCAGGAACTATGGCCGCCCTTACGGGGAGCTCGGAAGCGTTTGGAGATCCATCGGCCATCTGTTGAAGACTCGCGTCGGTCCCGTGGCAATCTTCAAAATTGCGCCACGCGTCAGGGTCTTTGACGGGCGCCCGCGCTTCCCCTACTGGGTGATTGCAGGTAGCGGGGCGGCTGATGTTACCGCGGGAGAGGCTTCGCGCCTCGCCGGGGCCCCCTGCAGGTGACCTGTCAACGGTGGCGCAGGCTGAACACACAGTTAGGCTCGTTCGTCGCAGACTCACGAGATCCACCTTGGCCGCCTTGGAAGCTTCCAGGCGTCTCAGGAGGATGGAAACAACTTGCGACAATGAGCCCACGCGCGTTGTTGATGCCTTCCTGCCCCCCCCCAGCTGCTGCCGTTGCCCTCTTCCGCTTGTGCCCATCATTTCGGCCAGGAAGGCTCACAGTGGGCGAGATGCAGGTGTTCGGCCACCGCCGCGGCCAGGACATCTTGGCGCTGTTATTCTTGCTCCGCCTTGGAGGAGGTAGGTCGCGCGCCCAGGCCTCCGCAGGGTTTCGGGGGTCCGCGTCGGGGGGGAAGGGCCACAGCTCTCACAATATGATTTTCCATTGGATTCCAACGTTTGGATATGCGGGGGCTGTGGTTTTTGTTCGGTGAGCTCATCCTGAGGGGCCTGGCGAAGCCATGTGATCCCGTCCGAATTGCTAAGACACGGCGTGAGTTGCTAAGAAACGGCGTGAGTTCCTAGGTCGGCTTCGGCCCAAAGTTTTGGTCAGGGGCTAGTTTACATATGTGTGACTTCGTCACTGATCCCATTCCCGTTCCCACTCCTGATCCTCCTCAGCTGGGGGAATTATGAGGGCATCCCTAGCCCTCGGAGGCGCCGCCCGCCCCCCTTGCCGTGCCCCCTGGGGCTCGCTCGGGTTTAGAACGATGGCGCTCGCGGTCCCTTGCTTGGCATTGCTCGGACGTGTGCAATTGTCATTGTGAGTAGAAGAATTCCCCACCTTTATAACGCAGTGAAGACATGGCCTCACTTGGTCCCCCGTCGCTGCATGAGGGAAAATATGTTCTGGTGGTTTGGTGCGATACATATGGCCTGCTGTTGCCCTCCTAACTTAGGTCCCTTCCGAAACGGTTGGGAGTCTAGTTATTGCTAATCAGAGTGAGGGGGCTGAACCGAACGGTCATTCACTGTCCCTCGGTGCGTGGCTGGAGTGGAATTCCGCGATGCGGATTGTTTTTCTGGTTGTTGGTTCGTTAGTGTTGTTGTTGTGGTTGCGGTTGTTGGTTGTTGGTTGTTGTTGTTGTTGCTGTTGTTGTTGTTTGTTTGTTGTTGGTGTTGTTGTTGTTGTTGATGATGATGTTGTTTGTTGTTGTCGTCGTCCCACCCGCGACCCGCCCTCGACCCACCCCGCGACCCACCCGCGACTCACCCCGTGACCCACCTGCGACCCACCCGCGACCCTCCTGCGACCCACCCCGCGACCCACCCCGCGACCCACCTGCGACCCACCCGCGACCCACCCGCGACCCACCTGCGACCCACCCGCGACCCACCCGCGACCCACCCCGCGACCCACCCGACGACCCACCCGAGACCCACCCGCGACCCACCGTGATCCACCCGCGACCCACCCGCGACCCACCCAAAATTTTCGGCGCCTGCGGCGGGCATATTTTTGCATTTTTTCCAGTGTAGAACCTGCGACCCACCCGCGACCCAGACCGCGTTCAATGCACAAATCAAAATTTTCGGCGCCTGCGGCGGGCTGTTTTTGAATTCCTTCCAGGTGGAAGTGGAGAGACCGCGGCCCGCCCGCGATCTAAACACGTTTCACTGAACAAGCCAAACTCGGCGCCTGCGCGGGTTTGTTTTGCATCGGCGACCCACGCCCGCGACCCACCCGCAGCGACCCAGACCGCGACCACCCCGCGACCCACCCGCCACCCACCCGCGACCCACCCACGACCCACCCCGCGACCCACCCATGATTTTCGGCGCCTGCGGCGGGCTTCGTTTGCATTCGTTCCAGGTGGAGATACTGCGCCCAACCCGCGACCTAAACCGCGTCAAGTGTGCAAGTCCAAATTTTCTTCGCCTGGGCTGTTTTCGAATTCCTTCCAGGTGGAGATGGAGAGCCCGCGACCCACCCGAGACCCAAACCACGTTCACTGAACAAGCCAAAAGTTCGGCGCCTGCGGCGGGTTTCTTTTGCATTCGTTCCAGGTGGAGAACCTACGACCCAAACCGCGTTAAGTGTGCAAGTCAAAATTTCGGTGCATGCGGCGGGCTGTTTTTTCGAATTCCTTCCAGGTGGAGGTGGAGAACCCGCGACCCACCCGCGACCCAAACCACATTCACTGAACAAGCCAAAACTTCGGCGCCTGCGGCGGGTTTCTTGTGCATTCGTTCCAGGTGGAGAACCTGCGACCCGAACCGCGTTCAGTGTCCAATTAAAAATTTTCGGCGCCTGCGGCGGGCTGTTTTTGAATTCCTTCCGGGTTGCCCACTAGCGATCCCCCCCGCGCTGATTTTGTCAGAGCACGCAAATCGGCGCCTGCGGCGAGTTTGCTCGCATTGGTTTGGGAAAGC